AGCAGCGTGATTAAACAAGTGACGGAACTTCACTATGCCCAAAGGGCGTATTCCAGCAACCGTTTTGGTGAGCATTAAATCATGGCACTCGTTGCTGCACCCAACTGGAAAATATGAGACGAGACATTTGCTACCAAACGATGCCCAACTGACCTTATTGCAACCATGAGATGACCATCTCGCACCCAAATTCGACACGAATGGTAACCAACTAAAAGAGCTAGCCTCGCATTGTATACACATCTCCGGATATAGAGTTTTTAAGTAAGAGAGCCAGACCACTTGAGATGCGCGCCGAGGCAGTTTCTGCGGAGGACCCAGCGCAAGGCTGTCATGTCGTTGTTGTACTGTATTTAGCTAGCATGTCCAACCACAGCAAAAATTAGCAAGAAAATCGCTCTCTTCCAGACGTAACAACACAGAGCTGGCAAGCATATAAAGAATAACTACATTGAGATTGTTCGCTACATCTTCGAATCCGGTAGATCTCGCTACAACTAGAAACATAAGCGCAGGTAGCGGTATCTCATGCTCTGCAACGTCTTCTTGTCGAGAAGCCCGACTTGATCGGCACCACAAAAGTTTTCGAACGCAATAAGAACGTAAATACCGCAGTTGTAGTTACTCCTAGTCCCGATTCGGAATTGCGCACACGAATGCCATGTCCAACAGCCCCCGGAAGAAGCGCTATTATCTTCTGAGCCACGGATCGAACGCTAACAAGATACGACGATGCGCTGCTATCGTAGATGTAGGCTTGCTTATCAGCCAGGTTCAGCATAATGGAGCACCAATGGTTGTGTGCACAATTCACTGGGATAAAACCCTTCTCGTTGGATAAGCTTGACAGCTTCGCTTGAATAGTCGCGGAGCTGGTAGATACTGATCCATCCACTACAACACCAAGCGTGGCTGAGTCAAACATGACAATATTGTGATCTGAGGAAAACAACTTTTCCACGATCAGTTGCATCATCTCGTCGCTAATCCAGTTCCTCTCTAAAATGTTAGACTACACCTCGGTATCTCCATCGCAACTACATAAATAAGCGAGCAATCATACATCAGTAGATAATGCCGGAAGTGCTTTCAACTTTCCTGGAATATCTGGGTCTTCGTTCACGGCGAAATGAGTGCCGTCCAAGCGAGAAAACCCAATATTTGCAAGCCAGATTAGCGCGGACTGAATCTTCTTGATTGTAGTAGCAGCTCGATGCCACTTTCTCATTATTGCCACGGTAGCGTTTTCAAAACCTCCGACGCCCAGCAAGTTCCATCTCACGAACCCCAGGGTGCTTAAACTGGTACGCCGTCACTTTGGAACAGGGAAGGGAAAAAATAAATTGGCTTATCCGCCGGAAAAATTGCAATCAAAATGCTATATTGCAGGTACCGATGAGATTGCAATATAAACTGCAAAAAACCTGCAATACTCAACTGCACTAAGTAATCGCGATTAACACTTGCTCACCATCGTGTGACTTCCTTATCGCTTTGGCAACAAGACGTGAGCTCCAGAAATCCTAGTTTACCTTGAGAAACATAATGGTTTCGAACATGCCAGGAGTCAGGCGGGATCGGCGGTCCGTCATCACGTATTTAGCTGCACTAAACAACCTCTCAACTGCTACGGATGTTCCTTTCATGAAGCTGAGGTTCTCATATGCCGTTGTCTTAGTCATTTTCAGGCGCTTGCGTTCTTGTATCTGGTGGTAGTAGTCGACCATTTCGCCGTGTACAATGCGTCTAGACGGGGGGGGGCTGTTTTAACTTCAAACTGCTTTATAGCAGCTTTCTCTCTGGTTGACAAATCTCCTGTGGTGTCGTTAAGGACCTTCGTTATTGCTGCTTCGAAGACAGGATCGTGCACAATGGAGGCGTATTGTGCAAGGTGATGGCTCATCTCCGGATAGTCCTCCAGAATAGCGTCGAAAGTCCCGCGAGCAGAAGCCACGGTGATATTCTTGTCTTGGAGGCCGACACGTAGTGTCGAAGTAGTACTTGATCGACGCGGGCATTCCGTCACGTCTGGCTTTATTTTTTGAGAGAGTCATTGTAGAGATTGGTGAGGTACACACAGGGAGTGTTTGTGCTTCTGCGACTGAGAGGATTCAGGAATGAAACTTTTGATGCACTTTTGAGAAATAACCTATTCCGCAGGTAGACTAGTAATCTCTTCCGCAAACGCTATACCTTAAACTAGAAAATTTGGACGGACAAGACCTCGAAGGAAGATCTAACTTCAAGGTAGACTTCAAGATACTTCGTACTTAACGCTAGATTATTGCAATTTGAATATTGCAATTAAAATACCCGATTGCATGTCTCCTTAAAATTGCAATACCAAACTGCACCTAAAGAGCCAACTGCGATGCATACTGCAATGGAGGATTATCGAAAAAATCGATGCAAATTGATTTTTTCCCTTGCCTGCTTTAAAAGTGCATTTTCCGATAAGGTCCTTGTTAAAGATTCGCACTATTTCATTCGGCCTTATCAGGGGATTGCTGGCAGGTAGCTGAGAAATCTCGTGAGCAATAGGAAGCTTTACCTTGGTAAAAAAAATTGTGAAGAGCTTGAGCTGCATGACTTTGTCAGCAGTAGACACGTAGCTCGCATCTCCGACAAGGATTTCATCAAGTGTACCGAGATTCAACTTTTTACTGGTCATCTCCATGTCTTCTCGTACCAGCGTCGTTATTAGCTTCCGTTTGGCCTTGACAGCTTTCGGTTTTTGCTTGGGGCGCCCCTTTGACTTTGGCGGACTTTGAAGCTCGAACTCGACGTTATCATCATCGATGTCAATGGGGCGTTGGTGTCCACCAATAACTGGTGATCCGGTACGTATACTAGATGGTCAGATCCAGCAGCGCTTGGTAACCCAAGATCCGGCCTCCTTTGCGTGCCCACGTGGGTCTCCGTGCCCACCTCGTTGCCCCCACGCGTCTCTGTGCCCAACTCAGTCACTAGTTGGGTCTCTGTGCCCAAATGACTACCCAAATCAACGCTAATTAATCCCATCTGAGTACCAACTCACGCTAATGAATCCCATCTGAGTACCAACTCAACCCAATCACATACCTGAGCTTCACAGTCAAGTGCCCTCGACTCCTGGCGTTTTCTTTTTCCTTGGCCTCGCGATTTGTACTTGCCTGCGTGGGTACACGCTATCGTGTACCCAACTTTCTGGGATCAACGGAGCCGAACTGCCCGCCGCCTTAATTTTGCTGTTCCGACGGGTAACCGTGTTATTTGTGCGGACACGGAAGCTCTACAAGAACGTAACGGGAGAATGACAACATTGCAACGATGGCTGATACTCAAATGAAAAGCGATACATACCTGGTAGGTTTGAGTTTCATACTCCCTCAGATAACTGTGCAAATCTTCCCACGAATCAAACTGTGTACTCTGGAGAGGGACAGCTACAAAACTGCTGTTGATGTCGCTGTCATCGTCCTGCCCGGATCTGGAGCTGTCGGACCGTCCGAACGCTTGGCGCGACGACGTCATGCTGCTGGATCTGGAACTCTCGTACCGTTCAGACGCTCCGGTCATAGATGCAATGCTGCTCCTTGTACTCATTGGACTCGAAGCAGACTCCACCCACTCCTCATCACTCAGACCACTCTTCCCTGAAGCCGATCTCTCACTGCCGGAGCTGCTTCGCGATGCGCAGACGGTAGGCCTTGGCGGCATCACTCGCAAGTCCATTTCTCCGGCTGTAGATTTTCGATTTGGACCTCCCCTTAAAATCAGTGGCTGACGGCGTGTGTATACGCTATACAGCCTGTCGGATGCCGTCGAGGGGCTAGGGGAAAAAGTCTGGCCTCAACACGACAACCCAGTTGGGTGCAGGACACACTCTCTTAAATCATTACCACGGCTGATTAAACCGTTTTATATGGGTTTTGGAAGGCACCCGATCAAGCGGAGATATCGGATAAGAAAGAGAGGGTGATCTTAACGTAACAAGGCCAGATCACAAGGATGTTCGTATGAATTAACTCCCCCATAATAGTTTATGGTCACGTTGCACTTTTATTTTTTTATGATGATTTCGCGTAGATCGTTCGCATTATTCATTTACTTATCCGCGAGTGAGCTACCTCCACCCAACACCTTCCAAGTGTTCCTTCAAGATCATGAACCTCTTCAAACACTACAGCAACATCGTCATTCTTGTGCTGCTCTTCCGAGTCATTAGACCTGGAGCTGCTACGGGCAGCAGAGTTGAAGTCCATGAAGTCAATGAAAGCCCGTCGTGCAACGCTAAAGCGACAGCAATGTACTCAACCATTATCTCAGCTCCTTGTACCGTAAACGCAGAGTGCGTTCAAGAATCTGGACCTAACGGCTCAAACTCTCTGTACAACTTCTGTGACTATGACCAGCAAACATACCTCAAGCACGCTTACTCCGATACAGCGTACGTGCTTGTCGAGAACTATGACGACATGAAATGCAACAAACTTGCGTCCATCGATGTGTTTCGAGCGGACGGAAAGTCTCAGCTACCCGCTGCAGGTTGTTCTGGCAACAAACGGCACTGTTAGCGTCCGGGGTCGAAGCAAAACGTGCGAACTTGGAGAATGGGAGACTGTAGTGGACCCGGTTCCAAAAGCGAGTGTCAGCACCGGCGTCTGCGTCTCAATGAAAACTCACCGCAAAAGTTTACTTGATCGACGGAACGGGCGACTCGTCTGCTTCATCAGCAAGTACGTCGGGCTCAGTCAACGGAACGAGCCTTGCTGCTTCTGCTCTGTCACTTTCTCCAGCTCACTTCCCAAAGTCATTTACTTTGACCATCGCGGCTTCAGTAGCTGCCGCCAATATTGCTTGATCGATACTATACGTATCCATAGTAGTAAACACCTAAACTAGGTATCTATTTTCTGTTCGAAGACGAGCTCTTCCAATGTTGCAGAAGCGTTTGAATATTGTTTGCGTAAGTATTCGCGATGTCGTTGAAAAGAACATGGCTTACCTAACAATACAAGCTACACATACAAAGCTTGAGTCTCACCACCCTCGCCAAATGCCTGAGCCTCCAGCGCAACTTGGTCGTCACCGAGCAATAGGTAAGCACTCGTGGGTGGCGAGTAGTCGTTGGTCGAGCTGCTGTAGACACACTCGCGGGTCTCCAGCACAGGCGGACACGTCGAGACGCCAGACATGTACGGGTCATCCAGCAATGCACGCGTCCGTGTCTGCAAGCCGTAACTGTCGCATCCAGTCGTCCAGCTTGACCACGCTCCCATCGTGCACGTTAACCCACTGCACGACGCCGTTTCACTCAGTGCCGGGCATGCCGCACCGCCATTCGCCGCAGCCGTCACCACTTTACGCGAGTGTGAACGGGTTCCCGTCTTGCTCGAACACTTCGTCCAGTCCGACCACGCACTCACCGTACAGCTGACCACCTTCGGAAACTTACACGCCATTGACTCGGATAAGCAGGGACACTCAAGGCCTCCGAACATCGGCTCCACAATAATCTTCCGCGTACGTGTCGACTGCAGAGTTGCCGGGTTACAGGCACACCACGAGCTCCAAGGGCCGACTTGGCAGCTGACCGGGTCGCACGGCGCAGTGTCAGTGAGAGACGCACACGCCGCTCCGCCGTACAGCGGATTGGTCGACATTGTGCGTGAACGGGTCTTTAGTCCAGTGGTGGAGTTACAGGCGCCAAAGCTGCCCCACTCAGTCAGTTTACAGTCGATCGGGTCACAGAAGCCTTGCTCCGTGGTGCTCGGGCACACGCTTCCGCCGTACATGGGCGTCACCTTCACTGTGCGCGATCGCGTCTTGCTGCCCGACGTCGGGTCACACGCTGACCAGGGTCCGAACTCATTCATGGCGCAGTCCACGCGGTCGCAAGGCGCAGAGTCCGACGTGTCCGGGCAAGCGGCACCTGCGTACTTGTCCTTCTGCAGAATGTCACGGCGGCGAGACTTGGTGCCAGTGTTGGGGTCACAGGCGCCCCACACACTCCAGTCGCTCACGATGCAGTTTACCGGATCGCACGTTGCATTCTGGAGAAGTTCAGGACACGGGAGACCACCGTACAGCGAAGCCACCGAAATCTCACGTGATCGAGTTTTGACGCCGGCGGCGTCGTTGCAGGGCCCGTACACACTCCAGTTGCCGACCTGGCAATTCACCGGTGGTGCCGTCTCGGACTCCGTCGTACCGTCACAAGCCACGCCGCCTCGAACGGCGGGCTGGAGAACCTTCCGACTTCGCGTACGAATACCCGTTCTAGGGTCGTAGTTGCTCCACGGTCCCCATGAGTCGAGCACACAGTCAACAGGTGGACACGCCGCCGTTTCTGTCAGTGCCGGGCAAGCCGTGCCTCCATAAAGTGCGTCCTGTGTAGTCGGGCGCGTACGGGACTTGGTAGCATCTGCATCGGTGCAGCTGCTCCAGTCACTGAAGGGTCCAACAGCACAGGGAACAGGGTCGCACGGTGCCGATTGAGTGAGGTCGGGGCACTTGCAACCTCCATAGAGATCGACCTGCTTGACTATTCTGGCGCGCGATTTCTTGCTACTGGTTGCGTCACAGGATCCCCACTCGCCCCATTCGTGCACCGTGCAATCGACTGGGTCGCACGCCTTGGTTTGGACGGTGATAGGACACGCTGTTCCGCCGTACAGCGCCGTCTGAAGTACAGGACGCGTCAACTTGCGGAGACCAGACGACGGATCACATGCCGACCAGTTCGCGTCCCATTCTCCCACGGAGCAGCTGACAGGGTCACAGTTGGTAATTTCTTCAAGTGGTGGGCATGCAGCTCCACCGTACAATGCTCGTTGCTTTACCGTACGCTTGCGAGTCTTCTTGCCGCAGCTTGCATCACAAGACGACCATGGGCTCCACTCACTGACCATACAGTTGACAGCACCGCACGGGACTTCTTCACGGGTTGGGCCGCATGGCGTACCTCCATAAAGCGCTGGCTGTGCTACCGAGCGAGTGCGAACAGAGCTCGTATCACTGCCGTCGCTCTTGCAGACGCTCCAGTCAGACCATTTCTCCATGACGCAGTTCACCGGGTCGCATGCAGCAGATTCTTCGAGAGCAGGACACACAGATCCGCCGTACTTCGGCTGCGTGTCGATGATGCGTCTACGCGTCTTGGTTTGGGATGCGGCGTCGCAGTTCTCCCAAGGTCCCCATGGACTCACCACACAGTGAGCCGGGTCACACAGCAGGTCATTGGTCACATCCGGACACGCCGCACCATTGTACAAAGGCTTCTGCGATATCGGACGGGACTTTGACTTCTTGAACGTCACGGGGTCACACTCACCGTACTCACTCCACTCCCCGACCTTGCAGTCAACGGGGTCACAAGCAATTGTTTCGTTCAGAGCGGGACACGACGTGCCGCCGTGACGAGATACCTGCGTGGCTGAACGGGTGCGTGTACGCAGACCTGTACTCGCGTCGCAGAGGCCATAGTCACTCCATGGGCCTACTTCACAGTTGATCGGAGCGCACGTCACGTCCTGTGTGAGGTCGGGACATGCGGTACCGTCATACAGAGCCTGCTGGGTGATGTTGCGACTGCGGTGCTGCTGAGGGTCATCACTGTCGCAAGATGTCCATGCAGACCACTCGCTCACGGTGCAGGGCACAGGGTCGCACTTCTTCTGTTGGACCAGCGTAGGGCACGTCAAACCGCCGTATAGTGACTCTCGTGTCACGTTTCGAGTCTGTGTACGCATACCGGTGGAGGCGTCACACTCGCTCCAGTCGCCCCAACCGGATACGGCACAGTTAACGGGTTCGCACGGTCCTTCGGACACAAGAGGCGGGCAGGCAGCACCACCGTACAAAGGCGACTGTACGACCGATCGACGCTTGTACCGCTTGCCACAGGTGTGGTCGCACGAGCTCCACTCGCCCCAGTCTTTATCCACAGCGCAATCGATCGGATCACACGGTGCAATATCTTGGAGAGCGTCACACGCTGTGCCGTTTCGCTGTGGGGCCCGCGCCGTTGGACGAGAGCGGGACTTAGTGCCAGTCTTGGGGTCACAGTTCTGCCACGAGCCCCAAGGCCCCAGTTCACAGTTGACCGGAGGACACGCACGGGTCTGCGTTAATACGTCGCACACAGCTCCACCCCGAACGGCATCCTGCTGGATCGATCGCTCCCGGGTTTGCGTCGGTGTGTAGTCTGTGCATTCGCTCCACTCGCTCCAGTCACTAAGAGCGCAGTCAATCGACGGACAGTCGACTGATTCCGTCTGCCACGGACACTCGGCACCACCGAAAGCCGCCGGCACTTTGATGTCTCGGGACCGGGTCGAGGTGAGGTCCGTCACGCCGCAGACCGACCACTCGGACCAGGTTCCAACAGTGCAATCAACTGGTGGACATGTCAGTGTATCCGTGATATCGGGGCACTCGTTGCCTCCACGCACAGCAGGCTGTAGAATGGTTCGGTTGCGCGTTCGCACGTACGTCTCCGGGTCACAGTCACTCCATTCGGCCCAGTCGCTCACGGTGCAGTTAATCGCCTCACACGGCTGCTCTTCCTTCAAAACGGGACACAACAAAGTGGCAACGAGGACATCATCGTCGGGGTTGCCACACGTCGAAGGAGGAGGCGGTTGCTGGACAACGTCACGTGTGCGGGACCGGGTGGGCGTATCGGCCGTACAAATGGACCAGTCGCTCCACTCACTCACCACGCACTTCTGGCAGCTTCGTGTCTGATTAAGAGGCGGGCAGGGTGTGCCGCCATATGCAGGTTCAACGCGGACAGTTCGAGATCTCGTCTGGAGGGTGGTCGTTTGATCACAGTCGCCCCAGGGCCCCCACGCAGACACACCACAGTTCACAGCGTCACACTTCTTCGTCTCATCAAGCGAGGGACACGACTTACCGCCGCCACGGGATGAAATGGCGATTGTTCGGCTGCGTTTGCGATAGCCGTTGACATCGCAAGCTCCAAACTGAGACCACCCATTCACTTTACAGTCGCGTGGGGGACACGCGTCCGCTGTTGAGAGTGGGGGGCACGCTTTTCCATTTCCCTTCGGCTGGACGGCGATGGTACGAGTTCTGGTTCGTGTCCAGGTGGCCTCGTCACAAGCGCAATAGTCGCCCCAGGGCGAAACTTGACAGTCCACGTTTACGGTGCACGGCTTCGTCTCGATGAGGTTTGGGCACTTCTTTCCTCCGTCGCGTTCTTTCGACACTGTGCGCGTCCGATTCTTAGTACTAGATTTCGGATCACACGCGCTCCAATCGCTCCAGTCGCTCACTTGGCAGTCTACGGGGGTGCAGCTTTGCGTATCCGATAAAGGCGGACATTTTTCCCCCTTACCGGACTGCGCAATGGCCACTTGACGCGTACGGGTACGCAGGTATTTCGCACTGCTACAGCTTCCCCAGACGCCCCATTCACCCACTTTGCAGTCAACGCTCGGTTTGCAGCTTCGAGATTGCTGCAGATCAGGGCACGCTCGTCCGTTAGGACCCGCAGCTTGAGTCACATTGCGAACGCGTCGTTGGGTGTTGGAAGCAGGGTCACATATCGAGTAGTCCGACCACTCACTAACTTTGCAGTCCACGCGCTTCGGACAGCACGCTTGTGAGCCCTGTAAAGCAGGACAGGATTTGCCGTTGTTCTGTGCCGGCGTGAGAACTGACCGGTTGTGGACACGCACAAGAAGATCAGGGTCGCACACGCCCCAGTCGCTCCAGTCGCTCACAAGGCAGTCCACCTTCGGCACGGATCGCTCCTCCATCAAGGGGGGACACGACGCTCCAGCGTCAGGCTGTTGCAGCACTGTACGGAAGCGACGCTCTTTGCCGTTGACGCCACACGACGTGAACGACGACCAGGAGCTGACGACACAGTCTGACGGCTCACAAACTTTCACCTCTTCTAGACTTGGACACACGGCACCGCCGAAGCGAGCTTGGGAAAGGATAGAGCGGCGACGAGAACGTGTCTTGGTAAGCTTGTTGCAGCCGCTCCAAGACGTCCAGTCGCCCACCTTACAGTCCTCGGGTTTGCATGCTTCTTCTTGAATGAGATCGGGGCAGTCGGCACCTCCAAAGGCACAGGGAATTGTCACGGTACGGCGGCGAGTACGCTTCCCAGTAACCTGCGAGCAATCACTCCACGTTCCCCAGTTGCTGACTTGACATGGCACAGGCGCACAGGCTACAGCTTCAATCAACGGTGGACACACAGCACCGCCGTCTTGGGGGCTCGTCACCACACATCGAGAGCGCGAACGTTGCTTCGTGATGGGGTCACAGGCTGAGTACGGGCCCCACTGACCGACCACACAATCCACTTTCTTAGCCGGCACCGTCTCCTCCAGTGGCGGACACGCTTTGCCACCGTCGGCGTCACGAAGAACAGTACGTCGACGGCACTTCGTGTCGCCACGAAGTTCGTATGGCCCCCAGGGACTCACTTGACAGTCGGTCGGGTTGCAGTTCTGCTGCTCCACGAGCGGCGGGCAGTCGGTTCCGCCGTATTTAGCTGCAACTTGCACTGTTCGAGTGCGTTGACGAACCTTAGAAGCGGAGCAAGATCCCCAGGGAGTCCACTCGCTCACTTGGCAAGCCACAGGCTCGCACGGTGCGAAGTCTTCGAGTACTGGACACGCAGCGCCGTCACCAAAGGGCTGTTGCGAGACGCTTCGCGTCCTTTTACGCGTCATCGTGGCTGAATCACAGGCTCCAAACGGACCCCAGGCACTCACTTGGCAATCGCCACAAGCCACGAGCTCCTCCAGTTGCGGACAGGCTGCACCTCCGTCCTTGGCGGCGGTCACAACAAATCGAGTTCGTCTACGCTGACCCCCAGGAGGACACGACCCAGTTCCATTGTCATCCCACACCCATTTACTCACTTGGCAGTCCACAGGTTGACAGATCTGCTCGTCTTGTAAGGGCGGACAGACAGCGCCGCCATCGCAAGCTCGGATGATTGATCGAGTCCGGCGTTTGTATCGAAGTCCGTCGGTAGGTTTGACGAAGTATTCAAACGGACTCCAGTCGCTGACTGTACAGTCTTGAGGCGTACACGACTGGGTTTCAGCCAGAGGAGGACAGATGGTGCCGCCATAACGAGGCGTAGTCAACACGTCGCGCGTACGCTTCCGTTGTCGTGTCTTGGCGTCACATACACTCCAGTCGGTCCAGTTGCCCGCGACACATGGCACGGGATCACAGGGAGCCGTCTCCGTGAGTGCGGGACAGTCAGCACCGCCGTTTTGAGCTGCAGTTGATACCGATCGCGATCGGGTCTTGGTACCAGTTAGCGGGTTGCACGTGGAAAAGTCCGTCCACGCACTCACCGCACAGTTCACACACGTCACAGATTCTTGAAGTGTCGGACACGCAGCGCCGCCGTCTTGTGCAGCTGTAAGGGGAGTTCGGATACGTGGACGCAGCTTGGTGATGGGGTCACAGACTCCGTTCCAGGACCAGGGACTCACCACACAGTCGACAGGGTTACACGTGGCTTCTTCGACTAATGGCGGACACGGGTTGCCACCGTCCGCTTGACACGTGACTTCACGCACGCGAGTTTTCTTGGTCCCGAGGATTTTCCAGGGGCTCCACACACTCACGGCACAGTTGACGGGAGTACAGGATGCGACTTCAAAGAGAGGAGGACACGCTGTACCGCCGTACTGTGGCCATGTTTGGACGAAACGGGTGTGGCCCTTCTTGCCGAAGAGACAAATGCTCCATGGCGTCCAGTCACTCAGGACGCAGTTTATGGGGTCGCACGGGGCAGTCTCAGTCGTTGCTGGACAAGCAGCTCCGCCGTCTTGAGCTTGCAGAAGAACGGCGCGCGTGCGCGTCTTCTTACCGCAGGAACGGTCACATGCCGTGAAGTCGGACCAGGGTCCGACCTGGCAGTCTTGAGGGACGCAGCGCTGCGTATCGTCGAGGGGAGGACACGCTGCGCCGCCGTTCTTGGGCCAGACAGTCACATATCGACGACGTGTCTTGGTCGAGTATACAGAGTAGCAGGTGCTGAAGGAGCCCCAGTCACTCACTTGACAGTCGACCGGTTGCTGGTACGGGTACGAGTACGAGTACGAGTACGCCGGCTGGAAGAGACTGGAGATCCAGAACGTATCTTGTTCAGCCACAGCTCCTGGCGATATTGCCACTACCAGAGCCAACGCCAACAAGGCGAGGCGAGTAGGATGAAGGAGCATTGGGGGTGACACTTTGACACGGGACAACTGAAACTTGACTCGAACACTACAAAAGATTCGTGGACAGGGGGCAAACGTGATGTGGGCTGGACGAAGTCTTTTCAAGAATGGAATGATTGGCATTGAGCCCCTCGATACGTACAGTATCATGATCGAGAGAGAAATCTTTCTCTCGATGCCTACCAACCGTCCATTTCAAGTTTTGACAAGCTTGCTCGTGGGAAGCAGAGGATCCCGCCGTTTGAAAGCTGTGAACGGACGCTTTGACGGTATCTTCGATCGAAATATACAATTTGCAAGAGCTTCAAATCTTTTGGTGCGTACGACCAGTCGTCGATGAAAGGCCGCGATCTTTTGCACTTTGAAAAGCATGAATGTTGATCACAGTTGAAGTTGGCTAAGAGTGATTGTACTAGTCCGAGATTTCTAAATCTAAAATGGGACGCCAAATCTGTCTTCAACACGTTCATCAGACTTTGCTCAACAACTCATTCTAAAACCCATCCTTGCCAAGCAACCCCCCCCCTCCATCCGGAATGAAGAACATGCAATCTGTCAAGTGCCTCGGTGCTGCTGTGATGTCCATACTTTTGCTGCAAGCCACCGTCGACGCTGATGAATACGGAGTGGGTGCTTTCTACGAGGACGCGACGTGCACTACGACGTTAATCGCAAATGTCAACCCCAACGAATGCAAGAATTTCGTCTGTAAGGACGGAAATTCCAACTTTTGCGTCGCTGACACGGCCACCTATCTTAAAACCGCGTTCGGAGTCTCACCATACGTGGTGACTGAAGAGTTTAGGGGCGGAAACTGCACCAAACTGATTGGGATAAGCGCATTCGTAGCTGACGGACATTGTCACGTTGGCCATAAAGACGACGGGTTCAAAATGGGCAATGGCCACGACTGTGAGCGGAGATGGCACGGTAGCGGTGACGAAAATGGACGAGTGCGGTGGATCGGCTCACGATTACTATCTTGGCCCTGTGTCGAAGGAGTATATCAACTCTAACGCATGTGCGCCAATCGACGAGCCACCATACTTCGCAAAATTCTACTACGTAGATCCTCCGTCATCATCGTCGCCGGACTCTAAAAGCGGGTCAAGTGATTCTGGAAGCTCGACGGATTCGGCAAAAGCCAACACCACAACGACTGGGGGTGCGTCTACATTTGAATCTGCAACCTCGTCGGTGCTGGTTTGTGCATTATTGGTTGTACTCGGTACGCTCATCCAGTAAGCGGTAAATTACTGATGTTCCTGCATATCAAAACGAGCATGAAAATACATCAGACTTTATTCAAACTCAAAACTGAAAGAGGGTTCAGTAATTACCTACTCAGGCATTTTAAATTGCTAAATGGGTGGAGACAACAATAAATGTGAGCTTAGTTAAAAGTGCCAATGTTTCTGCATCTTCTCAGCTAAAAGTAAATCACCATTACCGCCGACAGCACCAATCCGAATACCAACTTTGCACCCGAAGACACAGAAACTGGCATTGCTAGTGATGAGCTGAAAGAAGACGAGTTCGTTGGTGGAGCTGTACCGGTAGTCACTACCGTCGGTGACGGGGTGGGGCTCACTGGGGCCGCTACTGGTGCTGAAGGATTCAAATTAGAATCATCTACGGCGGTGGTGCCTTTGACGAAATAGGCCTTCCAGGTGTTTGTACCGTCGGTGACGCAGGCTTCTGTGTTTAGCTGTGTATTCGAGTCCACGGACCATTCCTCGTACCAATCGGCAGCATCGCAGCCTGATTCGGCGCTCATGACAGATATCGTATCGTTATCCTGTTGGACCTTGAAGTGGCTATGTGCGTATGGATGACAGCTTCCATCGGCAATAAAGGACCTCGTGTTGTATGATTTACCGAGACAATCCGCTGGATACAGTTCCACAGTGAAGTACGGAGAGCCTTTAAACGCTGATTTCAAGAATTCGTCTCGATCGAGGATGCAGGCAGTCATTTCAGAGTCGTGGAACGAGCCGTCCGTGTCGTTGAGGATCGCACAAACGGAAGTATCGGTGCAGATATCGTTGTCGATTCTCGCATAAACAATGTTGGAGCACGAAAAATCATCGCTGTACGTCGACAAGAATAACGTCCGCTCGGTAACTCGAGCTTGAGGTGAAGTGGATAACTTTCCCGACGCGACAAGTCCGCCAATGGCCGTCACGTAGCTACGCTTCATGTGTGAAAGTTCAGTGAGAAATGGAGTTGGCATCCACAGGAGCGGTGTGCATGTATTTACGGAAGTATGCCTTCCACTTCTTAAAATAAATAGAGATTAATTTCGTATTACTTGAATAACAATTTTATAGATAGCCAAGTGTTTCGTGCATTTCAAAGAAGTTGGGAGTTGGCGCTGAAAAGTATGACACACTTGGCTTTTACTACACTAAAATTTTATCTCATCCAAACAACATCACCACTGGGTGACGACTACATGTAGAGACGAAGTCGGAGCCTCCGTCCGTTGAGCAAGCCAGCATAACAAAAGCTCAAAACTGATCGAGACGTACTGGCAGCACTGAGTTCCAGCCCCCACATCTAACAAACGAGCACTCTGCTGACTCCTAGCAACCCTCCAAGTCCATTCCTTCGGTCTCGCGAAGGCTGTAGATACCGCACAACGTCCATGTATCCATTGGCACCTGCCCACACAATGGCCAACTGGGTGAATCCTTGTTGTCGAACTTCTCTGAAGAACTTCACTACCGTCAGATGTCCATTTTGTGCTGCTCGATCGATAGCAGCGACCGTGGCCCCTTCAAAGCGATACCGATGCAAGAACTCTACCACCTGCAAATGTCCTTGAGCCGCAGCCAGATCCATCGCTGCAGTGGTGCAACCTTCAGTGCGATGGAAGTGGAGGAACTTGACTACATCCAAATGCCCCTTGGCAGCGGCCGCGTCCATCGCGTAGCTGGTGCAGCCCTCGGGTCGGTGAAAATGCAGGAACTGGACGATTTCCAAGTGCCCGTTGGCAGCTGCCATGTTCATCGCAAAGGTGGAGCACGAGGCGATCCCGCTCCAGTGCAAGGTTTGCACAACGAATAGGAATCCGTTCTGCGCTGCGGCGTTGAGTGCACGGAAGCTGCAGCGGACGGGGCTGGCGCGACGCAAGTGGAGCAGCAGTTCAACAATCTCCAGGTGACCAGCAGCCGACGCCGAGTCCAGATCCCAAGTGAACGACGCCACGAGCGCCACCAGATCGATGGAGAGACCGCGGGCGTGCAGATTGGGCTCCATTGTTGCGTATGATGCGGTCGGCACTCCTCGTCGCATGAACCACGTTGAAGAAGATCCGGCTTCGATGTTTTTCACCGGTTCTGGACACCGGTTTTATCGAGATGATTGGGAATAAGTCGGCAAGTGGCAGCTTGGTTCAGATCAGCCTCACAAACAGAATGTATTCCGTTTTGAAGGTAATCGGTGTCGCTTACATTTTTCGCCCACGCTTTACTGCGCACACGTCACGTTCACCTTGCCCTTGTCCCACGGTTCGTCTCCGTGAGCATTAAATACCCTTCATTTTCTTATCTAAATCATTTCATCCTGACACTGATTTGTTGTATCCTTTTAACTGTATATGAAATTTCATTGGTAACTCTACAAATAAGCTAGCCGTTACAAAATAGTACTCCGGTGTGTGTTGTTGTGAGGCGGGAGAAAAATAATTGTCCTTTTTCTGACGCACGTGCGTGCACCTCGTGTCGTCGGATCGCGGCGCTTCGTAGCCAAGTCCGGGAGCCATACAATGCGCCATACACTTGATGCAGCTGTAGGAGACAGCCTCGTGGCGGGGAGAGAGGTTCGCATTTGAGCGTCGCTATCAGTTCCGTTCCTTTCGTGCGTGGTGGTCAGTCGGTCTTCATCGATCCCAGGCATTCAGCACTCGTGCTCAAGTAAATCTACCGCTGCCCATTGGATTTGCTCCAAGGCTCGCAGCCGTCCAGTTTAGCACACAAAGAAAGTCTCGAGGAATCCTCCTCACCCCCTCATGGCCAATCGGCAACCTCCAGGACTCGGAGCGCTGCCGGAAGACGCTCAGTACAGCCAGACGCCTCTATCAGGTGCCCAGTACCACGAACAGATCTCGTCTGCGGCGGCCCCAGGCAAAAAGCTGCTGTCCCAGGCGACCATGGACGTGCAGAATACCATCAACGAGCTGACCAAGGCCAAGGACCACGAGGAACTGGGCAAGATCACGGTGCACGGATGGATGCACAAGCAGGGGAGTCGCAAGTTCAAAGGCCCCGTGGCCAAGAGCTGGCGTAAACGCTACTTCGCCCTTGAAGGCGCTAAAATGTACTATTTCCACAGCGACGTGGACTGCCGCAAGTACTTTAACTCTCGTAATGGCGAGCTTGTCGTGGGCGCCGTCGATCTTCGCGACGCCTTCAAGCTCGAGCAGAGTGAGCGTCTCGATCTGCCTGCTAGGGGTATCGTCATCCACACGCGTCACCGCGCGTGGCTCGTGTGTCCCGAGACGGACCAGGACTTTACTATGTGGTTCGACGCTCTCGAGTTCACCGTCATGTCTGCGGGATCGGGCAATGTGGTCAAGCGAGACTTGCCCAATGTCCGCGTGTATGAGATGAAGGGTCGCTCCAGCTACCGCTTCTGGTACGTCATCTTCGTCATCACGGCGTTGATTGAGCTGGCGGGTATCGTGCTCTGGTTCCCTCTGGGTATCGAGCCCTGCGACGTCAAGTACAAGACGGACACGTGTGAGGAGATCCAACTGCTCTACGCCGAGACGCTGCAGTGTGGCGGCAAGCCGTTCAATGGCGTGTGGGACCCCCCGCAATGGTACCATTGGTCGGCCGGTATCGAGACTGTGCAGTGCTTCAAGGAGCCTCACATCGGCGACTGGGTGTCGTACTTCCTCTTCTACCTGGCAGAATTTATCAGCATTTCCCTCGGTTTCCTCTACTACCTCGGTATGTGGAAACCCGTTCGTCGTGGTGCTCGTTATCTGCGGGACTTCGAGCCGCATTTCCCTCCCGAAAAGGTATGACTATTTTTTGCGGTTTTTTGTGAGCTGATACATTCTGACACAAAAAGTTTTTTTTTTGTGTGTCCTAAAGTGGCCAACCGTGGATATCCTGCTATGTCACTATGCTGAGCCAGCTGACGACACCATCGCTACGTTGGAGAAGATCATGAACCTGGACTACCCTCCGCATCTATTCCACGTCTGGATCTGCGACGATGGCTACTGTAAGGCCAAGTGGGAAGCTGGAGCCACCGTCCCCAAGGTCAGTGTGAACACCGGCGTGATTGAGGACGCTGGAGACGTTCGTCACGAAGTCGCGCAGTTCATGTACGACCGTGTGTGCGAGTCGTACGAACTGGAAGTGGACGAGTGGCGTAAGGAGCACACGACCGTCAAGATGCCCACGAACGCCAACCCGCGTATCGTGAACCGCTCCGACTGTGCTGTCGGCTCTGTGCGTGACGACTACCACTACCACGGCCTACCCAAGCTGACGTTTGTGGGTCGTATCAAGCCTCCTGTCCACCACTCGAAGGCCGGTAACATCAACAACGTGCTGTACAACGAAGGAGCTTGCGGCCGCTACGCGATCATTCTGGACAACGACATGAAGCCGCACGAGATGTTCATTCAGGCCACTCTCCCGTTCTTCTTCGACGCCCCGCAGAACTCCAAGATCACGCGCTGCTGTGCTCCTGGCTGTGGTGACATCGGTAAGATCTGCTGTGCGCTGTGTCAGGCTGCAGGTGTGCCGGAGTCACAGATCATGTACTGCTCCAAGGACTGCTACAACGCGTCGGGACACGTCAAGTCGAGTGTGCACCGCCGTCAGACACAGAACACCATGTCGGAGCGAATGATGTGTGCGAGCTGTGGCAGCAAGATCAACCAGAAGAAGGGTCTGTGTCGCAAGTGCAACCGCGCGGTGAGTCGGCGTGACAGCAACCAGTTCGTGGGCGTCTCGGCTGACGACTACTCGGACCACGTCTCGGTGAACCAGGTCGGCTATGTGCAGACGCCGCAGTACTTTGAGGACTGTCTGCAATTGCGTCTTGGCGACCCGTGTGGTCACCGTAACTCAACCTTTTTCGATTCGGCACAGACCGGTATGGATGGCTACGACTGCGCCTCGTTCGCTGGTACCAACGCAATCTTCCGTCGTGAAGCTCTGGACTCGGTGTGTGGTATCCAATACGGCTCACTGACGGAAGATGCTTACACGGGCAAGATGATGGTGGACAAGGGCTGGAAGGGTTACTACTTTCGTAAGGATCTTGAAGGTGAAGAAGCTGATCGAATTCGTCTCGCTGAAGGTGCTGTGCCCGAGTCTGTGGCTGCTGCTCTCGCACAGCGTAAACGTTGGGCCAAGGGCAACTTCCAGATCTTCCTACGTAACAAGAAGAGTCTGGTGGATCCCGAGTGGGCTACGCCGCAAGTGGAGCTGCCACCAAAGCGCAAGATCAACAAGTTCATGAGGTGGGTCTTCTTTATGAACTTGACGGTGTACCCGATCGGGTCGTTCCCGGCCATCTTCTTCTTCTACATCACGGGCTACTTCCTGTACACGGGTCAAGCCCCGATCTACACATCTGGTCTGCGTCTGCTCATGGCGCTGGTGCCTAAGATTGTGGCGCAGAGTATCTTGTCGGCTTTGTCGAACCGTACCGTCGATAACGATGACGTGCTGCGTAGCCAGCAGACTTGGTTCTCGTACGCGTTCGTGCACGTCATGGCTGTGTTCGAGACGATCTACTGGAAGATTACAGGCAAGGAGGCTGCGTGGGCCAACACGGGTGCTCTGGGCGGCAACAGCATCATGGAACTACCGAATCTACTGGTGTTCCTGGCGATGGTTTTCGGTATGATGTGGGATACGGTACGCTACTTTGCAGGATACAACAACGCGGCTACGACGCACGGTACTCCGCTGTACTTCGCCTCGCTGTTCCTGGGTGGTTTCCTGGCTTCTCAGCTGGGCCCCATGGTGCGTATGAGTCTGCAGACGTACTTCGGCTGGAGCCACAAGAGTTTGACGGACCAGGGCAACATCGTGGGCAGCTTTTCGCTTGCCTTTGTGCTCATTATCCTGTGTATCTGGGTGTACGTTGAGACGCCCAACCACTCCATCTTTGGGTAAGTTGTTTGCTAGTAGAGATTGGAGACAAGAAATTGCTGTCTCCATGTGAAAATACGCCTAGCCAGCAACGGTTTTGCATGCATTTACATGGGTTGTTTCATATCACACGAACTGTGGAGTAGAGCGTACCACCACAAAGCTTACATACCGGCGCTCGAGCCAGACTCTGAACAAATACAGATCGTGGATAGTCTGCGTTTTCACAGCTTCTTATTGTCTTGTTGAGTCGATTTGTCTCTTCGGTACGGTCTGCACCTAGACTTTACCGAAGTCTTCAGTACAATGAAGACTATAAAACAGTAAGTACATACATTTGCGTATGAGCAAAGCCTCCTGCACTCTTTTCGGCTTACGCATAATTTTACGCAAATGGCGGTGCATGTTTTAATTAATTCCTTAATTGCTGGCCAAGCTTGGTGTCGAGCCACATGCTCAGAGGTCTGTGGATAGGATGGCACGCTGTTGGCTTATAATAACTACTGTACTGGATTGCATGTGTTAGTATGCCTTGGAGCGCGTACCGCAACGCCCCTGTCATTGCCGACATGGGGGATTGTGGTGATAGCAAGTATGTGTAATGGGGTAGGGGAATCTTACTACGATTTAGCTGTGACCACACAAAGCTTTATCTAGTCCTCATCTTCATCGCACGTAAGGTCCTGCTCTTCTCGCACCACCCCCAATTTCTTCAGCTCCTTGACCAGAGCAGGAATCTCATCATTAGCTTCATCACCTTCGTATTCATGTACCCGTGTATCACCAAGAATACCAACTCGAGCAACCCCCCCTACAATGATAGATGCCGTCAAGCTGTTCCAGCTTGTACAGACCAACGACACAATAGCATTTCTATCAGGAGGAGTAACCCGAAAGACAGAACTCGGTGCCTCCCGCTGAATATCTGCGACGCGTTCTCGAGCTACGTCTTGCATCTCCAATCGAAACGCAGTATTAGTACGGGTCGTGATCCCAAGACGCTGCGCTGCCCGACTCACTTCAAGAGCGTGATGATCTGCGACTTGCTGTCGTAGTCGGTCGACCCAAAACTTGCGCAATTTACTCTTGAACGGGTGATTCCACGCTACGTCTGCTGGCTGGCAGACGTAAGTGTATCGTGGTGGTACTTTATGCAGCACAATGTTGATAGATGCTGCATTCTCTACGACTTCTGGGGTCCAGTGCCCCGAGAAGTCGTCCCAGAGTAGCAGCATCTTGTCTTCTATGTTGGGGCGGTTTGCGACGTGATACTCCAAGAAACGGAGAGAGATCTGCGAATTCCACCATGCAGCTGAATTGCCATAGTTCTGGCACTGATGCTGCGTCTGAAGAGCATCCATTTTGGGCCACAAAACTGGCCCAAAGCCGTGCTGGTTCATCTCGTTGCTGCGTTGTCTGCACTTATCTTTTGCATCCTTCGCTTTGAAGATGATTATTGGGGGGTATTTAGTGCCGTGCCAGTCTGCCAGTAGCATAACTGTCGCTCTCTCCTTATCCTTGCCAGCACATTTAATCCAGATCGCTCTCTCCATTGATCGTTTTTGTAGGCAAGTACTCGTAGAACACCGCGGTCTGATCCGCATTCAGCACTGTAGTGATGTTGTGCTCGAGAATCAGCTCTTTCACCTCGTTCTTGAACTTTTCCGCCTTCAACTGTGCATCTTCGGGTGACGTTTGACCCTGGCGGGTTTTGGAGAACCGGCTGCGCCGCCTAAAACCCCTCCACCAAGAATGAGATGCGCTAAACCACAACGACGGAATGCCTCGGTCAGCGGCTACCTCACGGGCCTTAAAATGCAGCATCTGCTCCGAGACTGGACAACCTTCTCGCCTTAACGAGCTGATCCACATCGAGGTGTACGCTTCTGCACCGTCCGGGAGAATGGTACCGTCGCCACGTTTGCGCGCCCTTTCATAGTGACCCTTTCCTTGTAAGCACATCAGTTCGATGAGGACCCGGGACGACTTCCAGTCCGATATAAGCTGCATCCTTTTTCTCCGTTCTCCTTGGTCAGTCACAGATGGATAAAACTTCTGTGGTGTTGGAAATCCCACGTGAACTCTAGCTACAGATGTAGTTAGGATGTTCCCACAACAATACGTCTACTAGGATAGTAAACGATCGCTCGGGCGGACCTGAAGACCCCAGTTCTGCCCTTGCACCGGGACAAACTGGACCTTGTAAACTACTTATATAGGCCAACCAGTAAAATAAGAACACGCTACTAGCACGAGCAAAGCTAGCAGGTGTTTTGAATCCTCGTGGTCCCAACAGCGGAAGGGTACCAGGCACGGGTAAGCCTTTTACGAGATCACCGAGTGTTCAACACTCGGCTGGAAGAAATAAAAGGGAGGCAATTCAAGCACTCCCAGTCGTGCAAATAGGCAACAATAAGCCGTCACGTAAAACCTCTCGATAATAATCGGCCAATACACAAAGTCTCTTGGCCTTGCCGGATGAACCCTCGCTACAGAGCTTCGAGTTCACCGACAGGCATAACACACTCAAACAAGCTTGACCTGACGCTTACCTTGAAGCCGGACGTCGCTCTGTGTGCTTGAGTGGAAATTCTGTTCTGTATTTAAGCTTACCCTTTCGGGTCTATTCCAAATAAGAAGTCCTAATCAAGTATACAAATATCAAGTGAACAATGATCCGTTATGGATCTTCTTGCATGCCAAGCGTCGTCTGCACCGTCGCATGAGCATCTTTAACGGTCCGCGCCCTGTCCCAGACGGTGAAAGTGCCTTCCAAGGGTCGCTGAGTCTTCTGCGAACTCATCCCAACCGCCACTGAGGGTTCGTACCGTAGATGGTCCGCTGAATGCGAATCCGGCCAGTCCATTATTAATAATAAGGACAGCCTGGATTCAGTGACATATGCCCGTATCCAATACTCGTTGAACGTTCGGAGGTGACGCCGTCGAGTCCCTTGCACCTTGGCGTCTCAGGACATCACCTGACCGAGGGTTCGTCGCTTGAACAACTTGGGCGGTGTCACGTCTTTGTCGACGGGTGATAATCCGCAAACTACGGAGAAATCACTACACCACAACCGCCCCTGTCGCAATGGAAGCCACGGTCCTGGTGCCCGTTGTGACATTTCTTCATTCTTCAATTCACCATCTCGCCACCGTATGTCCAAGCGTCTGAATCGAGCCGTGTCCGACGCTTTTCAGCGTCTCAATCCTCGTAGACGTCGCGAACGTGAGCAGCTGGAGGTACGTAAGCCCATCCTTCTCCTGAATCATCGGTACCTTGCTCATCACCTCGTGTCACTCGACTTATTTCTCAGGAGGGCAAGACCGAGGGTTCGAACGCCCTTCAGTCTGCTTCACTTCCCCCGACAGCAGCGTCATCAACCGGTCCTCCGGCGCCTGCTGCCCCGGACTCTTCACTCCCTGCGATAGCTCCTGCAGCACTCCCCGTCGTCGCTGAACCCGCGGGAGATGGCTCCTGCTGTTCCTCCTGCCCCAGCTGGTGGTCCGCCACCCCTCACCGAAGATTCGCTGCGCGCCATGCTGGCTGAATGTACGGAGGCATCGGTCGATCACATGATGACCTCAATAATCCCGTACTTGACTGCAATGGCTCGTCACCAAGTGCAGCTCAGCGTTGCGCCTCCTCTCCACGGCGATATACACACTCAGCGTCGCCTCGAGACTGCCGTTGGTATCGATGATGTCCTCGCTGCGATACAACCCGTTCTTGACGCGCTGTCGGCATTACCCGAACGAGTTGCTCTTGGAGCCGTCGAAGCCGTGGTACCCCATTGAAAATTTGTCGTTCGCACCTCGGACATCTGACTGGCTTTCCGAAGTTCCGGCTCTCGACGCTCGTCAGCCATGGCGTACTGGATGGATGAATGCGCCGCATCGGCACCCGTACAACACTACGTACTTCCCGTGCCAGCGTAATCCGGAGCTTTTCAATCCTCGTGGTACGCGTTTCGTGGATGTGTACCGAAGCGTGATCGTTGACCCGTCTCTCGATTCAACCGAACTTATTCCGACCTGGCGTTCGTTGTTTGACTCGCCACCGGGTACTCCACGTCCCGCTCTGGCTGCTGTTCCTGTTGAAGCTGGTACCGAGGATTCGCAGGGTCCGGCTGCAGCTCCAGCTGTCGAGGCTCAGGTTCCTGATGAAGAGGAGAAGGAGAGTGGTGACTCGACTTCGTTGACACTCTTGGCCACCGCGGCCAGGCACTTGGAATCGATTTGAATCCTCGCTGCACGTTCCACGACGTTCTCCAGCATCTCAGCTAACTGCTGAGGTGTCCCGCGTGATTTCGTTTTCAGTGGTCGCTCCGCGGTCGGCATTCATGTTATCTTATTCTTAATCCACTTCCACAGCGTAATCATGTTCATGTTGTTCTTCAAATGCATATACAATTTGTTGTTGCAGTAACGTTTTTCGTCTGTTACCACAGGCTGCATCGCCCTGTGGACAGTTCACACGTGATCCAGTCACGCTAGTCTTCGTCCGCCACTTGCGTCATCTGCAGCCGATTCTCGCTCTTCTTGGCTCGCAAATAGTCGTACAGCAGACCTCCACATGACAAGTTGGATGATGGTTCCCAAGTTGAATCTTCATAGCCCACCCACTTGACTTTGAACTCGCGTACAGCACGCTCCGTGCTCGTCGTCAGTGGTGTTCTGTCGTCGAGGATGGCCTCGACTTCATATTCACCGGCAACTTGATCTGGTTCCCAGCTGTCCTCAGGCAACAGTTCCTCATCGAAGTCGAGTCTTGCTTCATTAGTCGCGTCTAGTACCAACCGAGTGTTCGGTCGACTGTTGAACTCGTTGACAGCCTTGAGTCTCGACACATGCACTACTGGGTAGAAGCGATACCCACTTCGGTCAGGCAGTTCCAGCTCGTACGCAAACTCTTCCACCTTGCGCTTGATCCGAAAAGGTCCATTCCATCGGTGAGCTAATTTCTTCGTCAAGCCCGGTTTGACGCGCTCCATTTACAACCACGCCCGGCTCCCAATCTCGAAAAGAGATCTCGGTGGGGCTCTTGCAGTATCTTCCATCTCTTCTGAAGCTTCTAGAGGGTCTGCCGAGTGTTCGTTTCCACTTGGTTGAGGTACAGCGGCTTTTTCCAGTCGACTCAGAGCATCATTATGCTTTTTTGCTCGTCGCTCCTTTTCTACAGCCTGATAAACTTTGGCCATAGTGAGGGCGACCTCATGTTGTCGATTGATCTC